CAGGTGTACGTGCACACGCACGCACGCACGTATATGTGCATACGCATGCACGCAGGTGTACGTGCACACGCACGCACGCACGTATATGTGCATACGCACGCACGCAGGTGTACGTGCACACGCACGCACGCACGTGTATGTGCATACGCACGCTCGCACGCTCGCACGCACGTGTACGTGCACGTGCACACGCACGCACGCACGTGTACGTGCACACGCACGCACGCACGCACGTGTACGTGAACACGCACGCACTCACACACGCACGCAGGCACGCACGTGTACGTTCACACGCACGCAGGCACGCACGTGTACGTTCACACGCACGCACGCATGCACACAGGTGTACATGCACACGCACGCACGCACGTATATGTGCATATACGCACGCTCGCACGCACGTGTACGTGCACACGCACGCACTCACGTGTACCTGCACACGCACGCACGCACGCACGCACGAACGCACGTGTACGTACACACGCACGCGCGCACGCACGCGCGTGTACGTGCACACGCACACATGCACGCACGTGTACGCACGCACGCACGCACGCACGCACGTATACGTGCACACGCACACACGCGCGCACGCACGCACACACGCACGCACGCATGCACGCACGTTTACATACACACACACGCATGCATGCATGCACGCAATTGTACGCGCACACGCACGGACGCACGCACGCACGTACGCACCAACGCACGCATGCACACACGTGTACCTGCACACGCACGCACGCACACACACACGCATGCACGCATGCCCTCGCCTACCTCGCCTACTCCACTAACGAGTCTAGGGAGTCGCCTACGGGCTACGCCTACTCCCTAACCCTAACCCTAACCGTAACCATAACAGATAGTTACACCAGGGTACGTTCCGATATATCGAACCGTACCCACAAACTCCACGACAGATGGCGCTCTCGCTCATGGGCTCAATCGCTGTCATATCACTGATCTCTACTATACTAATCAGTTAGTAATAATTATAATACTACTACTACTACTACTACTAATAATAATAATAATAATAATAAGTTAGTATAGTAGAGATCAGTGAGCACTGCATGCAGTTTGCCGTACCCAGGGTACCCTCCGATAATACCCTGGGGGCTGGGGAAAGGGCGTAGCCAGGAATTTGGATTGGGGGGGTCCTCGAGCGAGTAACCAATTTTTAATGTACCGAGTTAAATGTAAAAATAGTGCTTTAAAATCAATGTAGACGCTGTTTTGTTGACAATACTATTTCTTCTGCAGCTCTTTTTTTTCTTTTTTTTTTTTTTTCGATTTTTTTTGGATTGGGGGGGGTCCTAGTGCCCCCAGTACCCCCCTGGCTACGCGCTTGCCCTGGGGGACATAGACCCTATGAGCCATAATATACGGCACTTCAGCGATATACGATTTCTTCTGCAGGGTGGACACTGTTTGTCAATGGTTTGTCCAATGCAGCTGCAGATATGGCTAATAAAAAATAATATTCGCCACACCTTGCATGATAAATAGAGAAATTAAGTTGCTGATCAAAAAGTAAAAAAATAAAACAGGCTAACCAGCTAGGATCGATCACATACATATCATATAATCATACGATCATATTATCAGGAGTGAATAATAGAGAAATGATCTATTAGAATGAATCTATATAGAATGCAAGGGTGTAGCCAGGAATTTCGATTGAGGGGGAGAGGGTCCTCGAGAAAGTAACAAGGGTGGTCTAAAATATTTTTTTTGAGTTAAATGTAAAAATAGTGCTTTAAAATCAATTTAGACGCGGTGTTGTTGACAATACTATTTCTTCTGCAGCTCTACAACGACACCTAACCCGACCATGCTGTGTGACTTTTTTGTTGTTGAAATTTTTTAATCTATTTTTTGGATTTTGATTTTGATTGGGGGGGTCCTACAATACTAGGGCCCCCAGGACCCCCCTGGCTACGCGCTTGATAGAATGAATCTGTTATTCACTCCTGATTATATCATGTTAGGGTACATATGATATCTATGAGGCTAGCTGTTTCTAGAGAAAGAGAGAGAGAGAGAGAGATGGAGAGAGAGAGAGAGAGAGAGAGAGAGAGAGAGAGAGAGAGAGAGAGAGAGAGAGAG